TAAAAAGTAGGATTTCACTCACATGTATTTTTGTTGTTTTAAAAAGTAGACGTAAAGATACGGGTGGTGTAAAAGCGATAAAGAAAACATCAAAATTATCCATAAACTACTTGTTTTACGTTTTTGAACCAACTAGCAACCACCTTCATGTGTAACTTCAAAACTCACGGCAATGTTTCATTCAACCACATCCATGTTTCTGGGAAAATCTTTCTGACTCTAGCAACAGGCTTTAAACCATTTGGAGACGGTGGGCCCGGTACACCACCCATAGAACCGAAAGCTACTGGACTGTTCATCATCATTATTGGCATAGGCCGGACTAAAGCAAAATTATTGAAATGAACTTATCGACAATGATAAGACAGTTTAAATAAACAAAATATAACAAAGATGAAGAGGGATAAAGATAAAGATAAAATAAAGAGTAGAAAGAAGTTTAGTGTTTAATAGCAGATTACGATACAAGCAGCTTTAAGCAAGCGTATATGAACAACTGAATGCAATATACTGCAGGTTATTATAAGACAAAGCTATGGTATCAGAGACATTTGAAACTTGCACCAAGAATTATGCACTCAAACGTGATAAGTTTGATTTAAGCAAGTAGCAAATACAAAAACAGTTACTGCAAAATAGTAGAATTTAATTCAGAGGATTTTTAGCAGCTGTAGGCTTAATATGTTCGATCCTCATATTTTGATATTCTCAGCCATTGTGAATATAGCAGTGCTTGAAAAGGATTACCCTATTAACACTTCTTTCCACAACCAGGTTTCTGGGAATATTTTTCTAGCTTTTGTTATCTTTTTCAATGTGTTTTGTAATGGAAGCAGTCGTTTTGCCGCTGTCCTTGGTTGCACTTCAAATGGTCCTACTAAGCCATAACGTCTCCTAGCACTTTTAAACTTTCTTAAACGACGACGAAATGTGCGGTCTTAAGAGAAAATAAATAAAATTATGACCTGTATAATCAATCGTCTTATTTACATGCAATATTTGCTTTCGCTGTACTTCTCTTTCACTGAAGACTTTCTGTTTTATTCTATTAATTAATTATTTTTACAGCAAGAAGGTTATTCTTAAGTATTAACATCGTGTTTCGAAGCGTGTATTAGCGAATTACTTTTTATAAATTGTGGGTCAAATTTATATGCACCTCTCAGTGAACATTACAAAGTAGTAGTTGTACTTAATTAATAACGTATGCTTTAGTAGTGGTTTTTTTGTCATCCATTTAAAATTTAAAAAAAAATTAAATGCATCTTTTTTTTTAAATAAGTTTACAAGTATTAGAAATGATCAGAATAATTCTTAAAGATAAGTTTGATAATTAATAAGATGTTTCCTTTTTTGCATGCCTTGTATTGATGATCATTTTTACTGTATACAGTTTATAATACATTGCTCTGTCTTTAGTTTTCTATGTTGTGTTTTGTATATTGTTATTTGTCTTTTAGTCTTTTACTTTTTTTTTGCCACTTTGTCAGTTTATTCTTGACTTGAGTTTGAATGTCCCTTTTGTATCTTTTGCCTCTCTTATACATATCTGTTAAAGTTTGGAGATAAAAAAAACGTAAATTTTCCTATAACTATTGTGATAATAATTTCTAAAAGGTGTCAGTTGACAATTTCGTTCATGTTTACTTATTTGTAGATCGTATTGTGCTTAAAGTCTTTGCTATTTACAATTTCTCTTTATCTATATTGGTTTTTGGAAAAAATGAAAAAAGTATCGATAAAATTTTTCAAGGACAACTACTCCTGTAAGAATTCGATTGACAATTTTGACCGAGTTGTCTTATCTGTAGATCTTATTTTGCTGCACACATTTGCTTTTACAAATGATCTCCACATATGATAGTTTCTGCAAAAGAGCAAAAGACGAGTAAAATTTTTACTAGTAGTCTTTCAAGGGCAATAATTCCTATAAGGTATCCATTGATGATTCGTCCATGTTAACTTATTTGTAGATAATAAGTTGTTGATCAGTTTTATTATTTTCTCTTTTAACTTCAGTTTCCCCAAAAAAAGCAAAAAAATCAGTTAAAGGCAATTATTCCTATAAGGGGCCATTTGACGATTTTTACCAAGTTCAATTATTTCTCGATCTTATTGTTCTGGTCATTTTTACAGTTTGAAAATTCTCTATAACGGTTATAGTTTTTTAAGAAAATAACCAAAAACTTCGAAATTTGCAAAACTTTAACATGTTTAATTTCAAAAGTAAAATGATTTTAAATTCCACAGAAGATAGACCTTTATCTACTGATTAATGTTTTGCAACTTACAGATTTGCTCTAGCTGCTTAGGTGTTTAAGATATAGACCAAAAACTTTCAAATAGATTCATAATTTATATTTCATGGGAAAATAACCATGTGATAACTATATAATTGGTTGTTCCGATTTTGCAGAAGATAGGCCTTGACCTGTTGGTCATTTTAACCCAGTCATGTTTGTTCTATCTGATTTATTTTTGAGATATAAGCCGAATACTGCATTGTACCCCTATGTTCTATTTGTAGCAACAACAGCCATATCTGTTGATGGTTCAAATCCCAAGATACAAATTTTAAAATTGATACCCACAAAAACATTCAATAAAGATTAAAAACATTTGGCCAGTAGTTACAGATGAGAGCATGTTTTTTTAAGGTTTACGACGACAGACGGACGGACGACAGAATAAAAAAGCTCACTGAGACTTTTACTCCAGATAAACATAAAGTGGTATCCTATGATTGCACTGACCATGTACCATCGACATTTAAACAATGAACACACTTTTGACAGAGATTTTGACTGCATGATAGATTCGCAAATTTACCCCACAGCAGGCACGTGCTTTTACATTGGAATATACAAGTTAGTACGCTGAACACAAATGAGTTATACCTAAACAAACTAGACCAGACGCAAGCCAATTGTGAAAGGTTTTACCACTAACTCCTGCCATTGCAGCCATGAAACATCACAATATATGGAACTATACTAAAAACTGTTATTCTGACCTCTCATTAGTCTAATTCAAAAGATATAGTAAGGAGGGTGTAATGGAGTCCAAAGTATTAAATTTCAGACGACATAATCGGATAGTGGAAATGTTACACTTACCTGTATCTAAATATTTGACGCAAATCAAATCCAGGCAAGATTAAACTATTTCTCCTTGTTTCTACTAACCTTTTACTTATCTCAATGAAATTGATCTTGTATAAGAATAAGACAAATTTGGGAATTTCAAAGACAAAACTTTTTTTTAAAATTTTTAGTTGTGTTCATTTTCTATATATCTGTTGAAAACGAACTGCGAACTTAGTTTACAAAAGTGTAAACATAAAGTAGTTGAGCTCTTATTTAAAGCAAAAACGCACTAACGTTTTGAAAATGATCTTGGTATTGAAATTGGAAATTGATTGTAACTATTAAAAAATAAGATAGTATTGTCTTATTCTTAGTTATACTAGCTACTAACTATAGAAAAAGTGAAAATGATATAATCTGCTTTAAAAAAATGTTATTTCAATTCAAGCAAATATAATTCATTATAAAACTCCTTGCAATTTGTTTAATATGGAGATTAACAATCTGTTCAATTATTTATGGTTCTGAGAGTTAATAAAATGGTTAGGGCTATTTTAAAGATTTAAGTTCAGAATTAAATATTTTCACCGAATCTTTAATCGTTTGATAAAAGTTGTTCATCTCTTTTATCAAAACTCTCTACAATGATATTAACTTAATAAAAACAAATCTATCTCTTACTTTGCATTTATCGTCTGCTCAATGAAAGATAAATCTGCAATTACAACCTTACCCTTATACATGTATTATTGGATTCGAATGAAATATTCTAACGTATAAATCATTTTTATACAGGAACAATCTTGAAACAAAATCAAACTATGTTACTTTTGAAATCTTACTTTTACTTAGTTTTAAAGGCTGTCCTAGTAGGTTGTATCCATGTAGGATGTACACATAGTCCAGTTAAAATTACAACCGTATCTTATTAAAATTAGATTTGAATACAATATGCAGCACGGTTCAATCATGTTTCAAGGTTTCCTCGAATGAGTCAATAAAGCGTACCACATTACGTTTATAAAAAATTCACACTACGTGAATTTAAACCTTTGAATAATATGTTTTTAAGAAGAATATTAGATTCAAAAGAACATTAGATTTATAGTATTATATAATAAATTGTAGTTTCTTAATTAATTAAAATAATATTCCTTTGATATGATATGTATTCACAACTGTTCAATATTAGAAATTTATGTCATTGTATGTCCTGATGAATTTTTCATAATAAATGGTGTGAAGCTTTCGAATATGATTATATCGAAAACTCTGAACATAATTTTCTTGAAAAATATCATTAGGAATTACATTTAATGATATAATCAAAATAACTTTAACATGAAAAAAGTCAACTTTTGGAATTGGGTTAAAATGCTCAAAGTATTAGATATTGAATTTTTACATACCATCCAGATAAAAGTTTTGTATGTGGATGGTATTCAGTTAAATTTTCGGAGGTAAAAACATGGAACTTTTTTATAGTTTAAAAAACTCCAATAAATGATCATAGTAACTTACGAAAAATTTAAAATCAGAATCATTCAAAAACGCGGTGCAATTAGCTAATTAAGAACTTTTTAAAAACAAAATTAAATGTAAGGAAAGACATCTTTAGGTTAGCATAAGGTTTTCAACATTAGCCCAGCGTTTAAACCATGTTCAAAACAACAATTTTCTTTTATTCTTATATAAGAAAAGACATAAAACAAAAGAGGCCAAAAGCATATAATTATAAATGCGTTGTTATTCGGAATACTAATTCTATATATTTTGTAATTTCAAATTCTAAAACAATTTCTTTACTCAAATCATTAGTAGAGGTATATGACAGAGAGGAACACTCAAATATCATTGTTAGGATTGGACAATTAACAAAAACACCTTCAAATCTTCCACCACAGGGGAACTTACCCTGATGAGACATTTTGCCAGAGCCATGTTTCTGGGAATAGTTTTCTGACTTTTGTCACAGGTTTGAGATTGTTAGGGGAAGGTCGTCCCATTTCGGACATTTCTGGTGCCATTTGAGCCATCATAGGCATAGCTTGCAGAACAGCTCCTCCTCTTCGCAACATTATGGGACGGACTAATATATATATATATATAAAGTATTAAATTGTTGATGATAAAAAAATGAATAGAATCAGATGCAAGATGATATACAATCTTGGCCATACAAATATTGGGTAGGACCACGAATGTCGCGAAATTAACCAGGTTACTACCATGTTTATTGCTATAACCACCATTCGATTGATACAACTTTTGATGGAAAAAGTCCCTGGGGGTACCGCTAACCTAGTAGCTCAGTTCGTTGGTACCGACAATATAATACGTACTATTTTGTTATTGGAATTTGACAGTAATAAAGTTTCGATGTGATTTGAAATTACGAAAAACAACACTACTTGTCGACATGCTCATCTGCTGAAGTAAATTATTGAACCATTTTATGTTAGTTTTCAAATAATGAATTTCAAAAAGATTGCAAGTGAAGAAGGAAAATTGCATGCAAGTGATAAAGAAGGAAAAGTGTGTACAAGTGAAAAAGGAAAATTGTGTGCAAGTGAAGATGATAAACCAATGCCAGACCAACTAAATTTCCAACCAATTTTTTGTTTATTTGCAGAAATTAATACATACTTTTGAGATTTATATACGTCTCAAATGTGTCAGAGCATGCTCAACCCAAAACAATTATGCAGCAGTATAACTTTGAAAGCAGGAAAAATATAGTCTCTTAATCCGTGTAGACAAGATAATATAAATGAGTAAAACATAGAGAAAAGGCCCCAAGTCATGTAGAATAAATATTGAAAATCATGACTGAACAATACATGGCGAAATACACTTACGAGAGATGCTAGGAACTAAACAAATTGAACCATAAGGAATATATTTGTGCTCATTGAAAATTGATTTGACAGGGAAAAAAAAGAAAAGTGTTGTGTTTGTTCAACTTAAAATAGAAAATTATCGGTTATTTCATAGTCAAAAAAAGTTTTGTAACAAAAACATGTATGGCATAGGAGCGTTCAAAAAAAAACTAGATAATCTTCTGGACTCTTCCCTATTTGGTTTCCATATTCTGTCACTTACTGATTGAAAAGGGATATTATAATATTTGTTGTCATAAAGGCACAGCAGTTTATAGCATTCAAGGATGTTCACTCCTCTTGTTTTTGAATTTTTGCCAGATATTAGGAATCCTCTGGTTTTATCCATTTAATGACATTAAAAATTTTGCCCGCTAACCCCTACTTTTCTTTTCATAATTTTAGTACATATAGTTTAAAAAGCTATATTTGAAAATCATAGTTTTTGAAAGTGAAAAAGGTGCCAATGTTAAATGTATAAAAAATCTAGAGAGAATCACTTCCCGCCAAATTTCCAATGGCTTATATCTCGAAAACAAGTACACTGACCCTTCATTATTTTCTGCTTTTTTAGTCCCTTTATTTATATTCTTTCAATTGATAACAGTCTTTTAAGAAGCTTGTCATTTTGAAACAGAGTAGCGGTAGATAGCGAAGGGATGTTGGAACTAATAAGTGGAAGATATACTGACAATGCCAAGGCAAAAATAGAGAACAGACGAAAGGACAAATAACACTCTACAAAACACAACGTAGAAAACCAAAGACTTAGAAACGTGAACCATAACAACAACCGAGCGTGATCTCTGATTTTTCGGAAGGATAATCAGATCCTAATCCACATGTGGCACCCGTAGTTTTGCTTACATAATTTACTAATGATTGGGTGTTACCTTTTTTTTTTAAATTTTAAACCCTCAAAAACATTTTGTTTCTAAAATTTTCAGATATCGTCATTTTACAGATTTCTTTTTTGACAGCAACAAAAAACTTAATTACACTTTTTTATATGTTTATGGGTTTAGATAGATCTGAGTAATTGTATGCATGTATGTGATTCATAGAGATAATTAAGGCATTTTGACCTAGCGTGCTATGAAAATTAAAGGAGCTGTTTTATATTCATAGTGAATAATAAAATAAGTATCTGCGTAATTGGTTCTAATATGGCTCGAATGTGAAATGAATTGCCTAATTTGTGTTATTGGAATGAGATGCTCAATGAGACAGCTGCATAACGACACAAACCGTCAAAAGACGAACAGGGGTCAACAAACAATCTTAAACAACAGAATGGTGTCTTTTCAATATGGCATGCCCGAGTTTATAAATGTGTTAATAAATGCAACATAGACTAATAAAGATTAGTCATCAATACAGAATTCCCCGAAGAACATAAAAAATATATTAAAATATGATATAAAACAACCACTGACAAACTTCCACACAAACATGTGGCGGAGTTTAAATACATTATTTAAAGGATCTGAACCCTCCCCGATTTTTCAAATCTGGATCAGTATGCCGAGAGCTTATTGATTATGATTCATTTTTCATATTGTGCAACGCAATCCAACGCAACGCTACGTTACATCAATCATATAGGTTCACACGTCATAGTGCGAATCGATTATTGCTTGTTTCTACACGTACATCGCCTGCATACGGAGTATATATCTCCCAATTGATACGATATTCCCGGGCTTGTATTTCCTATCATGATTTCCTTGATAGAGGATTGCTGATCACAAGGAAGCTATTAAACCAAGAGTTCCAGATGGTGAAGTTGAAATCATCCCTTCGTAAATTTTACGGACGCCATCACGAGTTGGTTGACCGTTATGGAATAACCGTTTCACAGATGATATCGGATATGTTCCTTATGTCGTAACTACAATACCCTTCCCTTTTCACAAAGGTGACCTACCGGATTTGTAATAACATAAGCAACACGACGGGTGCCACATGTGAAGCAGGATCTGCTTACCCTTCCGGAGCACCTGAGATCACTCCCAGTTTTTGGTGGGGTTCGTGTTGCTTAGTCTTTAGTTTTCTATGTTGTGTCATCTGTACTATTATTTGTCTATTTGTCTTTTTATTTTTGACCATGACGTTGTCAGTTTGTTTTCGATCTATGAGTTTGACTGTCCCTCTGGTATCTTTCGTCCCTCTTTCATTTGAATTATAGCTTAAAACAAGACTCAATTTGTATAGATTGACACCAACTAATGATCACTGATCAGAATTTGAAAAGGGGTTGTTGAGACACTTAAAATTATTTAAAACCTCCCAAATATTCTCCAGTCAGGAACCCCATAAGTGGTTGTCTTTGGTCATATCCGAAATGTTTTGGTCATTATGGAACATTTTGTGTGTTAAGCAGATCTTAAACTGTTAGATTTATTCACTTATTTTCCGTACTTGATACAATTTAAAACTTGAAAAACAAATTGAATAGAAATGTGTTTATTGTTGAAGATAGCATGGTGATCATGAAACGTCTTCCTGAGTTTTGTGTTGTTAAGAGCTATCTCATTCATGCTAACATACTTTCTCTAATTCTTAGCCAGTTAATCCCTTTTTTGACATGTTCATTATTTTTTTCAATCAACGTGCGGTTCTTTTAATCTCATTTCTTCAATGGTCAAATTTAAATAATGACGTCAAATGTTCTTGCTAAATTTTACCTCTAAATCTAGTGTAATACAATATTTGTCCACTCTCGATAGTTAAATTTTAAATATTTAACTGTCTCGAATGGAGAAAAATCGTATTACAGTGGCATATTCTATATATCTACGTATATACTTTAAATATTCATTAAGCTACTTACATGGTTCTTGATAATTATACAATAACGCATCTGTCAGAACAACCATTCCATTATTCTATAAATGATATTTAATAATTAAAATTTATTATTATTTTGTCAAATATAAATAAAGTGTGTTTAAAAACTAGACCCGTGTTTGTAGGATAATATTTAAGTGGATACTTTTTAAATTGCGAATGTTTTGTACAGTCCTTGAATGGTGTTTCCTTCCCATGACAACGTTTATGGTGTTATGGTGTATGTTGTAAAGTTTAAAGGTATGTGATGCCTGCGGAATAATGTATGGTACATGAAGAAAGTTGTATGGGATTTACATTTGAGTTTGTTTTATAAAACATATATAGAAATTTGCCATTCCCTCAAACATATTACATTGTGGTTATATTGAAGGGTACAAATCTTCTTTGATTTAAATGAGAAAGAGGGAGGGAAACGTATATGATGTTATGGTGTATAATGTCAATGGGAAGCTAACACCCCTCAGGGAATGTATTGTCGGTGCTTTCAAAACATTTTATCTCTAGCTAACCTGATAAAAGTTATTCCAGAAACATGTGACATGAGCACGGAAAACAATTCACTTTGTTTAATTTGAAAAATGCTGTCGTTTTTAACACGAAAAAAAAACCTTAATGTACAGGCACCATTATTATTTACTTTACCAGTCAGAACGGCTAGTGTCTATTTCTGCAAAAGTCAAGATTTACCATGCTGAATATTTACTATATGATTTGCTGATCAACAGGGAAATCTATTCACTACATACAAATTCACATTCTTTGTCTTAATAAGGCATCAGAAAATGTATACAAATTTCTGTACCATCAGAATTTTATTTCTCATTGAACAAATTGCATTACTCACTTTGAGTAAGCGGTAACACTTTATCATAAGAAATGTTGTCCTAAACATATTGCATTTCACCTAAGGTATATCAGGATTCCTTAAAGTAAACCAAGTTAACCAGTTGCAAAGAGAGGTGGAAGATACCACAGTGGTATTCAAACTCATAAGTCGAAGACAACACCATGCCAAAAACACAACCTAAAACGACCAAAGGACAGTGTACATAACACGATAAAGAAAATTAAAGACTCAACAACACGAACCCCACCGAAAAAACCAGTGGTGATCTCAGGTGTACGGAAAGTAAGCAAATATTGCTTACATGTGACAGCAGTCGTTAACACTTTGTTAAACCTGCACTCATTTAGACTTACATCAAACACGTCCGTAGCATCTCTGCCTGTGCTTGGCCAGTACCACATTCTAGCGTAATATGGATAATATCCTCCTCCACTGTTATCATATGACTGTAGCTCCTTTGTTATCTATGAATGATGAAAAAATATATATCAAAAAAAAGTTTTCGTCCTCATTCAATCTGAGTCTGGGTCTTATTTAGGTTGTTGTTCTAATTGTCTGCTTTTTTATAGTGTATATCTTCTTCGATGCTTAAATTCAGATATATGTTAATGATTAAATGTTTATGCAGAACATCAACATTCATATTAAAAATGATAAAACATTGTGGTATAAAACATTCTCATGCACTCCGTTAGAATATTAAATAAAGAAAAATATGTAAAAAAATCAATCAGTTATTGCAATCTTTTTCTCATTATTACAGAAGAAACGATTATTACCTGATCTTCAGTGATGTCATTTCCTGTTTTTAAGAGAAGAACACTCTTATCCACAGCAAGTACATTAATTTGAGACATGGGATCAGCTTTTAGATCTACTAACATATTGGAACCAGGTAAAACTTCATCTTTCATGAAATTCAGAGATACCTGAAACATACAATACAATAAAATACAATACTTTTATGAATTAATCAAAGTGCATTCAAGAGAGCACAGTGATTAAAATTAAATTATAGTTATAAGACTAAACATACAATACTAAACATGTTTTCAAGTGTTTAGTTTAATTACATAATACATGTTTATATAAGCATTCGCCAAGCAATCTTAATATCCATTGATATTTTGAAGCTATAATGTGTTTCATACTATCTTATAATGATATCTGTCATCTTTTTTTTTAAGTCTTTTTAAATCATTTCAGGGAAAAGGTGAACGATACTGTTGTCAGGTCATTAAAGATGGCATATTTTGGTATTAATTTTGATTCATTCATAGGGTCTTTGCATCGGAAATAAACACATTTATTCTAAAACCAGTTGTTGGCATGATACGGGTTATGTTCTTTTCATATATTTTATGACGGTATGATACTAAACCCGTAACGGAAGGGATTGTGCTTGATTTTCATATGATGAAGACATAATCTTTCAATCAGTTAAATTGAGGTCTGGAGCTGGCATGTCAGTAACTGCTAGTAGTCCTTTGTTAATTTATGTATCATTGTCATTCTGCTATGTTTCTTTTGTTACCTATTCTGACATCGGACTCGGACTTCTTTTAAACTGAGTTTTACTGTGCGTATTGCTGTGTGTTTGTTTATTCTACATTGGCTAGAGGTATAATGGGAGGGTTGAGATCTCACAAAACATGGTTAACCCAGCCGCATCTTTGCGCCTGTCCCAAGTCGGGAGCGTCTTGCCTTCGTTAGTCTTGTATGTATTGTTTTAAATTTTAGTTCATTTAAATGTTTAGGAGTTTAGTATGACGTCCATTTTCATTGAACTAGTACACATTTTTGTTTAGGGGCCAGCTGAAGCCCGCCTCCGGCGGCGGGATTTTCTCCCTGAATTGAAGACCCATTGGTGGCCTTTAGCTGTTTTCTGCTCTTTGGTCGGGTTTTTGTCTTTGACACATTCCCCATTTCCATTCTCAATTTTATTAGAATGTACGAACATTTGCATATATTGAAACAAACCAGTAACATTGGTTTCCATGTCTAAGTTTAAAAAAAAAACACTGAAACAGTTTGTTTAGATACATGCTGAAACAGTTTGTTTAGATATATGCTTTTGAGCAATTTTTTTTCATGTAGTTGTTAGTTTAGTCTACGTTTGCTTTTGCCAGTTTTTATGGACTTCATCCTTTTTTAATTTACGTTGGAGTATTATTGTTATACTTTAATACCATAGTATTGTATGTATACAAGAATATATCTTTTAAACCATCTCTGCCGTGGTAAGTACCAAAACGTATATGACTTGTTTGCCCTTCAAAGAGATGCTTTCATTATTTGTGCGTTTGATTAAAAGCGATTGTTTTGATAGCTTCTTCATAACGAAAGAATAATGAAATAAATTTCGAAAATATCAAACTTAAAAGAGAGGCGGAAGATATTATAGGCAAATTCATACTCATAAATCGATGAAAAACTGACAAAACTATGTCAAACATTCTCTTTTAATGTTGATGAAATTATGTAAGCATTCTGGAACAATAATTTAAAATGAACCATCTGAAATAAAGATTTGTATCTGAAAGGTGATACTATCCATATAAATCTTACCTTATTTTTGAATATTCCGTCAACACTAAATGTCACTCCGTCAGTAACGATTTCACCATCAGGTCTTACGTAATTGATAATCAGACGAGCTTTTGGGGCCATCTCAGGTGTAATTTTTATTTTAAACTCTGCTTGATTGAGACCTCCCATTGGAATTTCTCCTGTCTTTACTATGCTTCCTTTGGAAATCAACTGAAGATCAAAACAAATATACTACAGTTTAGTTGATAGGTTGTTTTTACAAATAAATGATGCATACTTTAATATTTGTTAATACATCTTTTCAAATCAAAGTAAAACAGATTAATCAAACGAAAAAAAAATCAGAAGCAAAAAAAAAAATAAATAGTGTTCTACTTGTTGAAGTCCATAAAATTCAGTCTTGTTACAACTACAAATTTCTTTGTGTAAAAAAGATAAACAATTTACCTGATAAAAGACTTTTTCTGGTGCTTCTGTAGCTTTAACATCAATTGCAACTGTCTGTCCAGCCTGAAATTAGATCAAGAGTTGCACACAATAAACGTTTACCAAAATACATAATATTCATAATATGGTAATTAATTAAACATGATTTAATTTATAAATACAAGTAAAAAATCTATTACACAAACACAATGTATACCAACTTTATCATAAATTATTGATATCATCAAAATGATACAATGTATTCATATAATATAAAAATAAGGAGATGTCACACAGTGGTATAATTGCCAATGAGACAACTATCTGCCAAAAATCAAATTAAGTGGATGTATATGTTATCAAATCATACCAATGATTTTCATTCGTCTTTTCGCCATTTAATTTATCTTCAATACTAAAGGCTCTAAAGAGATCACCTACATCTCCAATAATGGCCCTTTATTTTTAGCAAAAATCATCATTATAGGGAAAAAAAGTCTATTAAGAGCTAACTGACAATTTTAGTCATATTGATGTATTTATAGATCTTATCCTGGTGATAGATTTCCTTTTTAAGGTTTCTATTTATCTATTATAGTGTTTAAGATAATACGCAAAAACAAAACGCTCTGTGTCAAAAAGTATATAATTTTGGGAGAAGTTGGAACCCATATCTTGTGTTTAGGATCTCAAAAACATTTCATTTATAAGACCTTTTTCAAAAACTTAAATTTGTAATTTTAAAAAATGTTTAATATTCAATGATCTTTTAAATAAACTCAGTACAGTCAGCATATAATGTAAATGACCTCCAGCACTTTCAGGACCCCATGTATAAATAATAGTTCAAATATCAGAAAGTCTACACCAAATCACGTTCCCATAATGCAGATCACTATTTCTGAATTGATTCATTCAGTTAGTAACTTACCATCGGTTTTTCATTTAGAAGACGAACTTGGATGAAACTTTTGCTGGGTGATTTGAATGGCTGTAAATATTTGTATGCCGACTCTTTCATATATCTTGCCTTTAGAAAATAAAAATCAAGTGAAACAATGATTATAATGTATTAATTATCAGGATGTTAAAGTAAGATACATGTAATATAATTCTATTCGATGCAATGTCCAATTTCTGTCGATTTAAAGTGTTTATATTATAAATAATAACATATGTAATGAAATGAATATAAAGTACTGTAATTTTATGCAATGAAATGCATTGTTATGTAATGTAATATAAAGCAATGTATTGAATTGCAATGTGATGTCTTGTAATGTAATGCATTGCAATGCAATGTAATATAATGCAAAATCATGTTTTGTCATGCATTGTAGTGTAATGTTATATAATACAATCTAATATAAAAAGGAACCCAGATAGTTTTCATAAGTTCTATGTAGGTTAAAGTTTTTTTAAAGAATTAAATCCATTCACATATTTGGTGTGTCTTAACAATTCATATATACATGTACCTCAATATCAAAGGAAACAGCATCATTTGGTACATCGATATCAAACTTTACAAGACCGTCTGGTGCAATGTCTAAATATATGACTGGAATCGGAATTCTCTTTGTTGGAGCGATACGAGGTCCGCGCCATGGATCAAAAATTTCCGGTTCGATGAGGGCTTCAATAATCTCGGTCTGGTTTCCGTCTTCCAGTGGTGGTGCTGAAGTCGTCGTCGTAGTTGTTGTTGTTGTGGTGGTAGTAGTCATAACTTCTACGTTGTAGAACATTTCGACCTTGACTCTGCTACTTGGATTAACAACTGGTTTATCATCTGGTTGTGTCACTTTCAGCTGAAAATTAATGAAATTTTATCAAGTTTTATCGAAAACATAAAGAATTTGTTCTTTCTATTACTTCTTTTCATCGCGTTCGACCAATTTTGTAGTAAGTTGGTTCTAGTCTTAATATGCATGAACTAATTGTCTTTGTACATTAAGCAAACAACAACCAATGAACCTTTCAATTTTGATAAAATTTCGCGATACTTTGGGCAAACCAGCTGGTCGTTAGGTTTTTTCGCGTTTTTTCTTGTCCATGAACATGGTGAAACAGCTTTTTCCTTGAAAAATAAATGAACTCTTTGAAACATGTTCACGCTATTCTCTTAATTGCATAATGAACATAAAAGAACATCTAACAAATATTTCCCAAACACAATCGGCAGCACAGTAAGTATCATATTCACATAAAATGATTGAGTATGTGTAGATTTTATTTAAAAATTGAATGCTTCTTTTTGTAGATTTATTGGGGTGTAAAAGCGTTGACCGAAGTACATTTTGTATGAAGCGCGGAAGCTCTTCATTCTAAGAATGTGCGCACGGTCAACGCTTTTACAACTCTATAAAATTACTAAGAATTATGACTTATAATTACATTTCTTTGCAAGGACCATGAAGACACAACTTCTATGAATTTTTTCTTTTATTTACCTGAGCACTTTATTGTGGAAGCTCGTGTCATTATGAAAGTTACATTTCATTTTTAAATGAAGGTTGATTTCAGAATGACGCCAGATTGATGTTAGCCAATCACAATAACGTATTATAATTAAACATACATGTAATGTAATTATGAATATATAACATAGGAACATACTTAGGTTTAGATATAAGAAAAGATAACACCAATAGATTTATTTGAATATATGTTTTAATAAACAGGTATATTCATCATTTCTTGTTGTTTATATATCTGGTACTTAATCCATTAATAAAAGCAATTACTGTAAGCAGTTTTTTTAATTGAAGTGATCAATAACAGATCTGAATCAAGATAAACACTGCACACAATATCAAGACTGGCCGAGTGAGTTAATAAATATGCCCTTTCACGGTTATTGCAGCCATGTTGAATAGGGGCAGATTTTGATTATTGAAGCAAAAATGGTTTGAAAAATACGGGTAAAATATCATTGAAACAGAACAGTTGCTTGGAAACATGCATTGACCTATAATGGTTTACTTTTACAAATTGTGACTTTGATTGAGAGTTGTCTCATTGGCACTCATACCACATCTTCTTATATCTATAGGAATTCCCGCATACTATTTCACCTCTATCAAAAAAATCTGCCCCTATCCAATATGGCTACAATAACGGTGAAGTGGGCTATTCCTGAAGTTCTACTACGTGATATTTGATAATAAAAGAAGGGCCAAGGTCTGAAAATACTGAGTATCTCGTATGCCTGTCACATGTTAGTATGCGTGTGGTTGTATCTAGTAATATTAATGTTCCTTTAGAGAATTTGGTGTTCAGATAGTACACTTTGATAGTATCAAAAGACTTTGTTCATAAAGTGTCCAGACTCTTTGAATGAAGAGATTGACATATTGTTTAGACACTTGTCTAATGTTGAAGACTGTTTGAAATATGTTTAACCCTTGATATTTTCTGGTGTAGGTGTCTCACTGTTATAAAATTGACGTTGACTTTTAATAATATTGTTAAGACAATTTTCTTTGGATCTTTTGACAGTTGTGTCTATATACTATTTTCAAATTACCGATTTTTTGATTTCGGAGTTTATATTTTTTCGACCGGTTACCTAATCTGTGGTAGAACATCCTGGAACTCAGTCAGATAAAAGGATTTTAAAGGAGCAAAATCAAGCTTACAATCGGTACAATTCTAGGGGAAACTTTTAAATTTTATGTTTTATATAGACGACAAAGTTATCGAAAAACAACAAAGTTTAGTTTTACTTCTTTTGGTTGCTTTTACTTGACTGAGTACCAGGACGTCCTACCACAAAGTAGGTAACATGTCGAAAAATCATATAATCCGGAGTCAAAAGTCGGTAATATGAAAAAAGTCTATTGTCAAAGTATACAGTAGCCGTTACTTACGTGCTTAGAATATAAACCGTCTGGAGATATAGATTGCCTGCAAGCGAAATGCCTTAGCCCTACTATACTTTTTCCATGAAAATAACTTGAAAATAGCTTCAAGTCCTTGGCTCTCGGTCATAAAATTTTACTCAGTACTCAGAGTACAAAATGTGAGCTCGAAACAGCAAATCTGTTCCTTTTATTGGTTGATTTCAGAGTCTCGGTACGATAATTGTATTAGAAAATTTATGACCGTAAGCCCTGATATGGTTTTGAATTACATATGTATCTTTTAAACCATTCTACCTGCTTGTCTAAAATACCTTTTGTTTTGGTAAAGTGAAAATTCACTTGTTTTCCAATCCTTATAAAACTGTCATAGTGTAATGCTTATGTATAGAATATTGTTTACACTAAAGTAAATTTACTCAGAACTCATTGTTAACAAATGAAGAATACCTAGATGAACTTAACAAATTAAAAAACGGTATGCTTACAAGTGCTGTATATATAAGCCCTGGTTTATAGTTTGCTGGTAACGACTCTACAAAATCAAGCTTGGCAGGGGTGTCATAAAATTTAATCTCTGCTGAATCTTTCATCTTTAATCCTGTTACACCCTCTGTCACATTGGCTTCTACCACAAAATCAGTGTACGCAAGATTTTTCTGTAATCTCTTTAACTGCCCCAAGGAAAAGGTAAATTTGGCTTCGCCATCAATCTGAATATTAAGTAAAAATCAAGAAAGTCGTTAAAATTTATGGTTAGTACAAAAATCATGCATATGATTAATTAAAAGTTTTAGTAATTTTACATATATATTACAATATATTGCTTTTTCAAATGCAGAACATACGTTTTTCGGGAGAAAACAAATAATGTTTTAATTGAGTTTTTTTTCTGTTCTTTGTAACTTATATTGTAGTCAAGATTTATATGATATATATTTCTATGATGCCTATTGAAAAAAGCCTATCAAGTGTTATCCTATCTGATATAATCCCCATGGGTACCCATCTACATTTAATTATTGGTAAGGTTAATTTGTGACGGAACTCGCCTTCCGAAAGTCAGATAAAAGGGAAACCGAGTGTAAGGTTCTATCATCTCGAAGCGATGGTATATCTTTAACTTGATAAATTCATAGTTCAGCAGAATTGTTTATTGTAATCATTATAAGTTTGTATATGTCAGACGCGCGTTGTGTCTACATAAGACTCATCAGGTTCACTCGAATCAAAGATAAATTGAGGTGAATGACTGTACAAAACGGCAGACCATTTTGCTAAGACAAATTTGTTTTTTTTTTTGTTGTTATCATGGATCCCAAAAGCCTCATTTTCGTCATTTATACTTATGTTAATCACGTGATAATTACCGGAAATGATTGTTCAATACTATCGACATATTCCTGTGGGTGGTCCTGTCTCCAACCCCATGACCTATGGTTGTACTTCTTCTTAAGTCTAATATTAGCATTTCCACTGACAGATTTGCCAAAAGTATATCTGAAAAAATGACCATAATATATTTTTCTATATCTGAATAATAGATTAATTGAGGGGTACTATTAATTTTAGCTCATTCTTATTTTTGATTTCTAATTGATGGATATATTTTTCGGGTCAAAGTCCACATGGATCAAAAAAACGTAAACGTATTTAGGACATTAGAAACGTATTCAGACGCTGTTAATTCTTTTTGAATAAATCAGGCTTTTTTTATTCTTGAATTGTTTCACATTTTGTCATACTAAAGCTTTTTATAGCTCACTTTACTCATAGTTGAAAACCTTATGGTAATCTGTATATACACAATATTAGGTCAATGTCAGAAAAATATAAACTTGTTTGTATGAGGTTGAGAAACTGGGAAAGGGTGATGTTGTACCGACCCCTTCCATATGACCTAATATTGTTTTTATACTGCAACTCAAATTAATACATTGATAGCTATTTATATTGTAACACAAATTTCAAACTTATTTTCATTCCTAAATGAACCCCTTATTGTGGAAAAAGTGATCCACTATGAAATTAACATTGGACAAAATATAGCTTTGTTACTATATTTAGGAAATAAACACAACTATTTGCAGTATAAATGTTTATATCCTTTCTGTGGTCTCTAGTGGATAGTTGTCTCATTCGCAAACTTACCATATCTCCTTATTTTATTTTGGTTCTAAATTTGTCATGCTAATAAGTATTCTGATATTAAACTGTTAATGGTACATGTAAAATCAGACGTGGTATTTGAGGCACAAAGTCCAAGAATTTCAAACCGGTTTAAACTGGAATTGTTAAACTAGAAAAACTTGATACTTACTTTGCTTTTACAGTACCGTGAAAAGCCAAGTCTGTTGTCAATCCATACGATGGTAAATCCACTGTTACTTCAAATTTTGGGAGAACTAAAAAAATATATTCTAGTATTAGTTTTGTTTTGTTAAGACGATGTGTATTAATGCAGGTATAATGTTAATGTCAACTAAGAAGGTGTGGATGGGGGTCTTTCATTTCTGTATTTTATTTTTCTCTATTCTTTATAAATTTTGCCTGTTATTCTCTATTGTTTATATTTTAGCACCTCATTATTCTCTATTCTTTTTTTCATTTATCCTATTTTTCTCTATTCTTTATGTTTTAAGCTCTTTATTCTGAACATTTTGCCCATTACTCTCTATTCTGTAAACCCCATCCATACCCTTAACTAAGCCTTCCTCAACTTCGAATTTGACATGATACTATGTAAATGTATTTGATATGTTTTGAAAATGAGTTGATTACTGATTGCTTGGATAATGTAATGCATGATTGATTGTTGTCTGTTTCTTTTTTTAATTAAAAACATACAATATATTTACTTAAAAACTATTTTATGAGATAAAATATTTAAATAGAATTTAAAATATTATTAGAGAAGCGAAGTTATCTTTATAAAAACATTTTAAAAGAGACGTACCATATTCATCAACTGTGAACACTTTTTCTTCGGCTACCGCCTGAAATAAAAAAAAAAGGTAAATCACATTATTTATGCGTCTGTCCAAAGTCAGGAGCCTATAATACAGTGGATGTCGTCATAATTGTTTTTCGTAAATAGTTTCGTTATTAATTAGGCCGTTAGTTTTAACTATTCAAAATTTTCACATTATTAGGTCTTTCCACTTTTCTGTGGAAAGACCTATTGTATTTGTTCTGATTATTATTATTTTTTTTTTTTTTTTCTTCCGCCTAATTTTGTTCTTGCGATAAATGTTTGTTTCGCAATATGTCGCTTAGATATTTCTCATATTTCTCATATTGTATCGTATAGTTTATGCGCTTTTAAATTTCACCCTGCTAAGCCAAACCATTTTCTTTGTAAGAGTTATCTCCCTATTCACTGTTTATCATCTGTGTGCATCTCCTTCGTAACAAAAAAAGATATCGACAAAATTCTTTTAACAAATTGTTCGTTACATCCTCAGGAATTTTTGACTAATTTGGATCGAAGCGATTCGATGAAATTTTATAGGAGTTACCTACCTTTATCAAATAAATGTGTCGTTATGTTTTTGTTACTCATAAACTGTAAGCCGTATAAACCTATAGTCTTTTTATTTAAGGTCTTTGGATCCTAACTTCGAAAATGAGGTCAAGGTCAAAGGTCAAGGTCATGTTCTGAATTTTGTCTTTTGCTTGTTATTGCATTTTCTACGATATTTTTAATGTTATATATTAAAGAACAAGTGCAAAATGTTTGTTATATTGTGATGAAGATATGATACATTTGGTCTGAGACAATCCAGCGACATCTTATTGGAGTTATTCCCCCTGAAATGTTTTATTTTAAGGTAAATTGATTATTACTTCATATTGGTACATGATAAAGCCATAAGATCTTTTGTAAAATGTTGGGTGACATATGACCTTGAAAAATGTCAACCGGAAGAGACCTTGAGTGAATCGGAAGTAGTCATTTTTGCACTTATTTCATGTAGAAGTACATAGAAATTATATATTTTTTGAATGGTCATACATTAATCTATCATTTGAGACCGGAAGTGATATTTTATAAACCGGAAGTAGCATATTATCTCCCTTTTTACAGGCAAAAGTATATATAAACCATATATTTTTGGAATCAGTGTAAATAAAGCTATCACATGAGACCGAAAGTGATATTTTCTAAACCGGAAGTAGCCAATTATCTCCCTTTTTACAGGCAAAAGTATATATCAACCATATATTTTTGGAATCAGTGTAAATAAATCTATCATATGAGACCGGAAGTGACATTTTCTAAACCGGAAGTAGCCAATTATCTCCCTTTTTACAGGCAAAAGTATATATAAACCATATATTTTTGGAATCAGTGTAAATAAAGCTATCAGATGAGACCGAAAGTGACATTTTCTAAACCGGAAGTAGCCAATTATCTCCCTTTTTACAGGCAAAAGTATATATAAACCATATATTTTTGGAATCAGTAAATAAATCTATCATATGAGACCGGAAGTGACATTTTCTAAACCGGAAGTAGCCAATTATCTCCCTTTTCACAGGCAAAAGTATATATAAACCATATATTTTTGGAATCAGTGTAAATAAAGCTATCATATGAGACCGGAAGTGACATTTTCTAAACCGGATGTTGACAATCATCTCCCTTATTTCAGGCAAAAGTCTATAGAAACCATGTTTATTGAATCAGTATGAAGAAACCTATGATTGGACGCCAATAGTAGCTTTGAGTAAACCAGAATTATCTTCTCATCAATTATTTAGAAAATTGATGTGGAAAGACCTTCAATTGTTCTTTGAACAATTGGTTTTTAATTCATATAGGGGTCTTTTATAGCCGACTATACGGTATGAGCTTTTCTCATTGTTGATGGCCGTACGATTGCCTATAATTGCTTACATCCACTTTATTTGAACTTTGGTGGATAGTTGTATTAAATAGAAAAGTTACTGTACAATATATGAGTCAGGATATTGGGTTCTTCATTTCTTTTAATTTATTCTTTAACTTTGTAGACCATTTTTCTCTATTCTTTATGTTACCCTTATTCTCCATTCTTTATATTTCAGAATCCCATTATTCTTTATTCTTTATATGTTTGGCCTATTTTTCTAATCAACCGAACGGAGACTATCAAAATTCCTCAATTAATTTCATGTTCCTTAAAGAATAAAAAGTCAATACACGTGTGACATATCCTAAAACCGTTCATTGATAGTACTTGTGTACATGAAGAAACAAATGTAATTAATCATGTCTAGACCCTGCCTTGCATATCAATTTGAACCTTTGTTATATGGAAATGATTGATAACTGCATTTTTAGAGCATCTTTGAACAACTATGGGCCTCTGTCACTGTTCGATTTACATACGTATGTAAATATTTGATAAACATTAATGAGTCTAAGAAGTCGAACTACTGTATCACTAGCCTATCAACACTGATGTTGTGAGATCGATTCCCGCACGTGGCAGGTGCACTCGACTCCAATCTTAATTGCCTAATTATAAGTTTTCCGACCGAAGGTCTGTGGTTCTCTTCGGACACTCCGGCTTTTTCCATCAAAAAAAACTGACCGCCACGAAAAAACACAAACGTACTGAAAGTGGCGTTAAACGCCAATCAATCAATCTATATCAGTAGGTAGGTTGCCTAATGCCATAAACCATTATTAGCCTAAGTTACAATACAAACAACAACTTTCCTCACATGTGGGCAGCATTGTTAAGTTACAACACAAACTAAAACTTTCCTCACATGTGGGCAGAATTGTTAAGTTTCAACACAAACTACAACTTTCTTCACATGTGGGCAGCATTGTTAAGTTATAATACAAACTCCAACTTTCCTCACATGTGGGCAGCATTGTTAAGTTACAACACAAACTACAACTTTCCTCACATGTGTGCAGCATTGTTAAGTTACAACACAAACTACAACGTTCTTCATATGTGGGCAGCATTGTTAAGTTACAACACATACTACAACGTTCTTCATATGTGGGCAGCATTGTTAAGTTACAATACAAACTACAACTTTCCTCACATGTGGGCAGCATTGTTAAGTTACAACACAAACTACAATTTTCCTCACATGTGGGCAGCATTGTTAAGTTATAATACAAACTACAGCTTTCCTCACATGTGGGCAGGATTGTTTAGTTACAATACAAACTACAACTTCCCTCACATGTGGGCAGCATTGTTAAGTTACAACACAAACTACAACGTTCTTCATATGTGGGCAGCATTGTTAAGTTACAACACAAACTACAACGGTCTTCATATGTGGGCAGCATTGTTAGGTTACAACACAAACTACAACTATCCTCACATGTGGGCAGGATTGTTAAGTTTATTTGTTGTATAATCCGTTTATAAATGTGTCTGTCAATTTTGGCAACACGATACTGAAGCAATATTTTCAAACTTGTACATACAATATGAATTATTGTGTTGCAATTTGCTTGCTAAAACCAAAACAATATAGTTCTTTTTTGCCCCCTACCTACCCCCAATTTCTATGCTTAACCTTGCAAACATTTGGAAGAGCACCGAAGAGACATTCTTGGTTAAGCATAATTAAAGTCCAGAAAATTTCCCTATAAAGTCTATGTTAATTTTTTTTTCAAACTTACCTACCTACTATGTTTTCTGTATGGAGACAGGGAATACCTATATATTTTTGGAATTAATGTGGAAATTAAGAAATACTTACGCCTTGTGTAACTTTCATTTTCCAGTCCCCTAGAACTGGGTGGTCAGACATAACTAGTTTGTCACCAAAAACACCATTCTTTTCTGCTGCGTCTCTCCATTGAGCTATCTTGTTTCCTTTAGGGTCCTGAAAATAATATGAATTCTGTAACTCGAACGCTTCTTGTTTTTTTATTATCTTAATATAATTAAATAGTAACAGATGGATATTGTGTACAATATACTAGTAAGAAGATTCGGTATGAATGCCAATTAGACAACTACCGACCAATTCAAATTGATGTTCAAATTTGCATGTGAAGGTCACTGTATGGCCTTCATCAATGAACAAACCCCATACGTAAAATTATCTATTAAAAGGCCACGAAATGACAAAATATAAATCAGTTAAAAAAAATACTAACGGCCGGATTTATGACAAAACAATGAACGAAAAAAAAAATATGACAGACAGCAACCAACAACAACCTCTGAATTACAAGCCACTGATTTGCGTTAGGCACATACACAATGTTGCGAGGTTAAACGTGTCTGTGCGTGCTCAAACCTCCTGTTAACTGGGTAAATATTGTTAAAGAACAGAAAAAAAACAGAAAAAGACAGAGAAAACCGAATGTAATATGATTCCAATGTAAAGGCAAAGCTAAAAATCTCGTGTGTCAAATAATTCATACTTACATAAATGTCAATGTCAAAAGTTTGATTGACGATAGTAAGATCTGGATATACTCCCAAGATACGGAATTGTACTGTAAAAAATATAGCTTTATATTCAAATGGAATGATACAAACAAATAGATCAAACAAAATCATAAACAGAAAATAAAATAAACTTTTAAAAAGTCACAAATATGACAAACATTTATTCCTATAAAATGAATTGAGTATTCGTCATGGTGGGACATAGTAAAAATGCCACAATAAAGCTACCTCTGCACTAGTGTAATATAGCTGAAATAGCCATGGACAAGTTAAGGTGGGTACGTGACCCCTTGTAGCTGCTAGGGACCTGTATATAAGCGGTCCGCATACCCCTCCTCCATTTTCCATGCCTCTCCCTTTAAACAGCCAAAGAACGAAAATCGATGATCCGCATTTGTTTAATTAACCTACAGTAAAATCAAAACGCCACCAACGATCGATTGAAATAGAATAAATATAAATAAATAAGCTTTATTTAGAGTCGGCATAGTATACAAACAAGAACATAACGTACGCTCTTATGAGCTTTTATGAGCTTTTGCGGTATGGGCTTTGCTCATTGTTGAAGGCCGTACGGTGACCTATAGTTGTTAATTTCTGTGTCATTTGGTCTCTTGTGGAGAGTTTTTTTATTGGCAATCATACCACATCTTCTTTTTTATATTTTAACCGACATAAAAGATGATTTCTCATCAGTAACTGCAAAATATGCGGAAGTCATCAGTTAAATACAAAAAAAATATTTGCCGTGCTTCATATTAAATATTTGATATTTCTATTTTACTTACTTGTCTGGCCTGGTTTGTAAATTGCTTTATCTGTCTGGATCAGGATTGATGTACTTTTGGTTTGAAAGCTGACTTTTGACCAGTTTGCAAATCTCTGTCCCCCTGTTCCTTCTATTTTTAATCCATAATCCTGTCCAGCTTTTATGTCGAATGGAATCTTAAAACGAATCAAAATACAATCTGAACTTGTGCAAAACTATCACAAAATTCTTTTTTTTTTTAGAATGTATTCTTAGAATGACAATTTATTTTTCACTTTCAAATGTCAACAATGGCAAATTGCAGAAATTTTACATTTGGTGTTACTACTTTTTATCTAAAAAAAAGTTTTCTTCAGACAGTGCAAATTAAAGGGTTTATATAACACTGGTGTTTATCATAGCATTTATTGAAAATTTTAGCGAGTTTTAATCCAATTACTATAACATTTGCCATATAACACCTTGCTCCGTATATTATAAAATAATTCTATCATGGCATGCGTTATGCTCATTTTAACATGGGTAGGCATTATATTTGTCAATATTTTACACCTCGCTAACGCTCGGTAAAAAGATATTGACAAATTAGTGCCTACCTATGTTAAAATGAGCATAAAGCATGGCATGATAGAATTTTTTCTTAAATATACAATGTACTTTTTTCAACAAAAGATTATGTCTCCCTCTATTAACTCAGAGGTTGACAGTTCTATTATAATAAATAGAAAACATTTAATAATACTATATTGTGACATCGCCAAACTAGTCTTTTAACCCAATTTGTAATTACTATTAGCAACATGACGGGTGCCAATAGAGGAGCGAGATCTGCTGAACCCTTGGGAGCACCTGCAATCATCAAAAGTTGATGGTGAGGCTCGTTAGTTTTCAAATAAGTGTTTTGAAGACTATTTTTTATCTTTTCGTCGGGTTTCTTTTTTGCCATGACGTTGACAGTTTTTCTTCGACTTGTGAGTTTTGAATGTCCCTTTTGCATCTTCGGTCTCTTTTCAGATACTAGTTAATTATTAGCATGGTAATACAATGTTGTTCTTAGTGATCTTTGAACACTTGATACGCTTTCAGTGGTATTTATAAACTACTTGTAGTATTTACCTTTAACTGTACGGTACTAGGTGTACCCACAGATATTTCTTTAGTACCCGACACTACTGTATTGTTTTTGTTGTCTTGTAATATTGCTGTCACCGTCACTGGGCCTGAAGCTTCTAGTATGTTGACATAAACCTCTGTATCTAGGCCTGGGCGTATTGTCCTCGGAAACATCACTACATACGTGCTGGAATCAAATGAAAATAGGTTGAAAAGGATAATCAGAAAGTAAGAAAAGATGGATGAATGGTTGGTCCAGTGACATATCCAATGCATATTCAGGATAAAAGCATGATAATAGGATATACATATAAATCCTGGCCTGTACTACATCGACAGCCTAAACCAGATTTTTAACTTGCAAGATAGCAGTACACAAGAAGACATGTCACCCTACCCGGAGATAATGATGTCTCCGAGCCGTCAAGTCTTTGCTCTTACTCCAAAATGCCGACACGGCCAGGAATCAACCAATAACCTATCGCATTCGAGGAGAACATGCTACTACGAGACCACCGAGGCGGTAAGTTAGAAAAGCATTTAACATTACAAACTTTTGAATAGATAATAATTAATATATCCTTTAGAAATATCAGTCATCGTAAGAATAAGAAAGTACTACTAAACTGCAATTTGTTTAAAATCCTTCCCCTAAAAATGTCCTTATATACTTTTCCACTATCGTAATACGTATAACTCAGTCCCTCCCCGTGATTGACTCTCCCATTGGCGAGGAATGTATAGCAGCGGAATAACTACCGAATTATTCGGGTTACCAATATCGGCTTAAATCTCTTGAAATGGTCAAAATCTAATCATAATTTGTCCAGAATCGGCACAATTAAAAGTTTGTCATGTGATATAACTGTTTATTTTTGAAGGCCGTATGCTGCCTTCTAAAAAAATGCTTGCAAGGGTTTTTTGTCTAAATATCATATACGCCATATTTTCATTTTTGTCATTGGAATGATAAGAATTAAATCTGGCATGGTTTTAATAAATCATACACATTGTCCGACTAATAATACCCGTGTCATAACGAGGCTAGAAATGGATCGTAACAATGGTGATGCAGCTGTAGCAAAATGTCCTGAAGGTGTAAAACGACTTTAATTCGTTTGTTTAAATTTTGTTTTAAGTACGGTGGAAAAAGAATGTTTTGATGGACTGAAATGCGAAAACAGAGTAGGAATGTGTGTATGTACATGTGTACATGTAGTATATATGTAAGTCAACTCTAGGATTCGAATATGTTTATTAATTATACATGCACATGTAGGTTGTTAGGTGTTATCAGCTCGCGTTATAAATATGCATGTAGGTTTCGAGGAACTGTCAACTCGCGTTATATAGGTTGATATATATAGTTTATTTTCTAGATTTGACGGTGAAGTGATTTAGCAGTTTTAAGGACATACTTTTTGATGAATGGACATTTTTTTTAAAGTTGATTTATTTAAAGAAGTGAAATGTTGTATCTGAGAGTAACAGATGTAGTCTTGCATTATTTATATATAGTATATATATATATATAATATGATTATAAAACAGACAATTTGGGGTAGAAATGTGCAAGAAAATTACAGACAATTACAATTTACACAATGTATGTGCCTGTCCCAAGTCAGGAGCCTGTAGTGCAGTGGTTTTCGTTGGTTCATGTGTGTAATATTTGTTTTTCGTAAATTGTTTTGTTATAAATTAGGCCGTTAGTTTTCTCCATTCAAATGTTTCATATGTTTCATGTTGGAGCCTTTTAAAGCCGACTATACGGTGTAGGGTTTTCTCATGGTTGAAGGCCGTACTGTTGCCTATAATTGCTTACATCCACTTCATTTGAATATTGGTGAATAGTTGTATCATTGGCAAACATATCCCATCTTTTTTTCATACAGTAAATTTAGCACATAGATGTTATGTTCGTTTGAACAATGTTAGTTTAAACACAATGCATTTATAGGTTATTAGGTGCTGTTAGCAGGCGTTTAAATCACATGACCTTTTTACACTTATTCAGTCGTACATATTTGCGCGTTGCATACCATGCATTTACAGGTACACAGTGACAGTATAAAATGCATTTCATTGACAATATAATCCATCTTATTTTCCTTTGGCCAAGTTATGCAATATTAATAAATTAAGACGTCTCATATCTGACAAATTTCTAATTTTTCACTGATTTGAAAATTATGATTAATCAAATCGTTTCGGGGGATTTTGTGCGAGACTTGACTACATGACAAGATCGTTGCTAAGGGGTAAATATGTTTTAGTCGTGTAATAATTACCATAATGATAGCATTTATCTTTTTATCAAGACGGATACACAAGATAAATATAACATTGTAAACAACATAAATAGTTTGCTTACTATAATTTATTCGTATATTTCTATGAATAATAACGAAAGAAAACGGATACAGGTATACACGGACTTGACGACACATTGTCCTAATTTTAAATCATTGTCAGCAACTCGCGCGTATATATAGATATATACAATATTCTTCGGAGGTTAAAAAGGTTAAAAACTAACACATTGTGCATGCACACGCATAAATTTTAACAATGCTTCTCAAAGTTATGAATTTCTGAACTATGAAATAAAAATAGAGGAAACTGTATGTTTTTAACATTAACATTGATCTGACGTTTGTAATTTTCAACTCCTTTAGGGAACACATTGTTTTAACTGTTTTTATTGACACGTCATGATTTCCGCATAATGGTCGGTGCTCCATTTTTTTCTTTTAAATTCGTTTTTAGTCAACATATACATGTATTCAAAGTTTTTTCCATGTGTCCTGATTGCTGCATGTATGCTACCGTGATGATATTGAAACGGGAGAGAGGAATGGGAGTTTCGTAACGTGAACATGTTGTGACCTAGACAGCCACTTGGTAGAACAAAAAACCATCGGTGACAAAGTTCACCATTGAAAAGTTCACCATCTACGATTAAATTTCGAAAACGCCCATTCTTATCAAATCTTCTCCCTCGATTTTAGAAGTGGGCGGTAAATAGTGACAGCGTGTCCGTCCGTCCGTCCTCCGTCTCATTTTTTTTATCGACTACTGGTTATGAACCGAACGATCGGATTTTGTCAAACTTTCGAATAATTGTATTTACATGATGTGCTTTGAAATTCGCTACTTTAATCATATTTCTTGATTCGAATGTTTTACTGCGTTAACTTTTGCATGTTATCTACTTTGTCATAAAAGATCTGATTTAAAACAGTACAGAGTTGTTCTTTCAAAACAGTTCTATACTTTGGATGATTTGATATAGCTTGACATATTCTATTGTTGGAGACCGTATGTGAAATTCTATACGTTGTCGGGTTGCTGTCTCAAAGACGTATACATGTACCTCCGTATTAAATTTTCTTTTAAGTAATAACCAGAAAAATCGGTCAGTTACACTGTTGTTCGTGATCTTTCAAATTTTCAGATATATATTTATAGTAAAGAGCTTAAAAGTTGAATACTTATCCATTTTCATAAGATGTCATAAAATGGAAAATAAGTACAAACGTGTTATAATCAGTCTTCCTAACTTTTGTAACATAATAGTATTCGGTGTTTTTTGTTTATATAAATGTTAGTGACGAACATCAAACGGTACGTAGGGAAAAGAATGTGTATGTCATCAAATATGTCTGTCATTTTGATAAAAATATGAAATTAATCACATGTTTATTATAGAAGGAAAAGTGTTTGAAATTAACATCTATGGTCCGAATTTGCCACGAGGGAAGTTTCTCCGGGATCGTGTTAACCGCTAATGTGAAGTTAAATCAGTACTTTGGACACAAAGTTATTATTCAGCAATTTAAATCCAACCAAGTTTTTTTATTCTCAAGTTTGGAGATTCTGGGTTTAAAAAATGTTGGAATGAATAAAACATTTTGCGTTTTTTGCCTTAGATCGATGATTTTGATAAGAAAACAACACTCCGTAATTATTTATTTAGACTACCTGGTAATTGCGGAATTTTAATTAGCTTGGGATCGTGTATTTCAGTATATATAGAAAATGCATTGTCTTGTGTCGTTTCTGTACTTGACTAGTATAATTTATTGGCTGTTTGTAACAAATTTGACCCTGTATAAAATAAGAAGTTGTGGTATGATTGCAAATGAGACATATAAATTAAATCATTGCATATGAATATTGGACGATCGTGCCATACTCTTGCCACCAGTACACACAATAAACAATCAAGAGACCCGTTCATGTTATTACAATGTATACACCTATGACCAGTAATTGTTGGTTGCAAATTTCACACTTTCCTGTAAAAAATTATATATTCCACATTTTTTACACGAAATTCGTCTAAATATCACGATGCTTCTTTGCGTAAATGACGGCAAGATTTCTTATAAGAATACATCGGCGGTTAAGAGGGCACAGGGGGCCCGTATTCTCCTTTATAGATCTACATAATTATATAATAGATGAATAGAATATGCAGACTTTTTACAATTCTCACTCGAGTTAAAGTTGTCTTGTTAGACTTCTTTTCAAAAACCTGGATTTGCAACTGGAAGAGTAAGTACTTTGAGCTTGCTTTAATTCACAATGAACATTGTTTGAAACGGTCTATAATTGTGTCAAGACTTTTTTTTGGTCAGGATGAAGACGGGAAGAGTCGTTTTCTCAGAAAACTACTAGTAGTGTAACCCCGCCAGATGTGGGTGTCCCAAAGTCAGGAACCTCATACATGTAAGTGGTTGTTTTATGTCATATATTAAGTATTATTTTGTTGTTGTTATTTAAAAAGTTTGTGGCGTTGATGACTAATCTTTTCTACTTGATTTAGTCACACCTTTCAGGCGGTGATTCGGAATGGGCGATTTCGACGCCCACCCCCTCTTTAAATTAATAAATAAGCAAGATTACAGCCAATATTGTGTTAAAATAAGGTCCACTTATTTCTAATTCTCAAGAGCGCCCCTTACATTAAATCCTGATTTTTATAGACTCGGACGATTTATAACTTGACATACTAGTGGGTCTTGATCATGTTGATGGGGTTCCTTCATTTCTGTATAATATTCTTTATTTTTTTCAGGCCATTTTTCTCTTTTCTTTACACTTTTTGCCCATTATTCTCTGTTCTTTATATTTAAGTCTCCTAAACGAAGTTCGGGAAGACTTATTGTTTTTGCTCAGTTCTTATTACCCGTTCTCCAAAACCGCTTGTCAGATTAACTTAGGGTTCCACAATATGTTAGACTAACATGTCTAGTGGTGCAATCAGGGTTTTGTTTGTGCAATGAGGTTTATAAAGGGGTACTTTGAGGGGCAAAAACAAAGGAGGGTTTTACTATAGAACCCTATGGGATTTTATTTTTTTAAATTTTCAAATGATTATAAATTGAAAACCGTTTGTGATAGACACAATCTTTTTAATTGAAAATGTTTTAAATGATAAAGCACATTAAATGAATTACAGGGTTAGTCCCCAGGGGTCACCCCCAACCCCTGCCATTTAAGAAAGTTCTAATATCGTGTAAGTGGTTAGATCCCCACCCCTAAACCATATATATTCTGGTTTGTCATGCTAAGATGGTTTGAATGATATACAGGGTTAGTCCCCAGGGGTCATCCCGACCCCCTGCCATTTGAAAAAGTTCTAATATCTTGTAAATGGTCGAGATCCCAACCCCTAAACCATATATATTCTGGTTTGTCATGATAAAGCACATCAAATGAAATACAGGGTTAGTCCCCAGGGGTCACCCCCACCCTCTGCCATTTAAGAAAGTTCTAATATCTTGTAAGTGGTCAAGATCCCCACCCCTAAACCATATATATTCTGGTTTGTCATGCGAAGATGTTTTGAATGATATACAGGGTTAGTCCCCAGGGGTCATCTCGACCCCATGCCATTTGAGAAAGTTCTAATATCTTGTAAATGGTTGAGATCCCCATCCCTAAACCATATATATTCCTGTTCGTCATGTCTCGAACATTTGAATGGCATATAGGGTCTGTCCCCAGGGGTTATCCCACCCCAAATGTTCTAATATCTTGTAAATGGTCGAGATCCCCACCCCTAAACCATATATATTCCTGTTCGTCATGTCTCAAACATTTGAATGACATGTAGGGTCCGTCCCCAGGGGTTCCCCCACCCCCAATGTTCTAATATATTGCAAATGGTCGAGATCCCCACCCCTAAACCATATATATTCCTGTTCGTCATGTTTCAACCATTTGAATGATGTATAGGGTCAGTCCCCAGGGGTTCCCCATACCCCCAATGTTCTATTATATTGCAAATGGTCGAGATCCCCACCCATAAACCATATATATTCCTGTTCGTCATATCTCGAACATTTGAATGACGTATAGGGTCAGTCCCCAGGTGCCCCCCACCCCCAATGTTGTAGTTTTTTGTAAATGGTCGAGATCCCCACCCCTAAACCATATATATTCTGGTTTGTCATGCCCAGATGATTTGAATGATATACAGGGTTAGTCCCCAGGCATCACTAATGCATATAACTTTACTGGACCAAACTAATTTTCACTGGACTTTGACTAATGTCAGGCGACCCTTGGAATTACGAATTATGGGAGCTTCGTTTAGGAGACTTAGTAACAACATCCTGTTGCAATCATTTCTTGTTTACAACCTAATTATTCTCTATTCTTTATTTTTTGGTCCATTTTTCTCTATTCTTCATACTTTTGCGCATTATTCGCAATTCTGTAAACCCCCATCCACATCCTCCTATTTAGACACCTGACTATTGTAGAAAATGGCATGCAGCCTACTACATGTCATTTGGTTATTTTTGTCTTTTAGATTTCTTTCTCATTGCCGAACACCCCACATTTCCATTTATGCATAAATGTTTTACTTAAGTAATTGGAAGGTATATATTATTGGATGATATTAAAACTCATAAATGTAGGAAGATGTGTGCAGATGACGGGGATCGGGATTGGTTAAGCAAGAGAAGTTTGAAGACAAGAGCAAGCTGTATCAATCAAGCAAGATACTTTTCAAATTTTCAGAAAATTGTGACAAATATATACATAGGAAGAGGTTATTGTCATCGATGTAGTGTTACGTCACAGTAAGTACTTTTTATCAATTTCTGAATCCAATATTATTGGATATTAGTATATTAGTCGTTTCGACGCCCTTTCAAAGAATAAGTCTTAGAACTGAGGACCAGAACACCATCCTGTAATGCCGCCTATGGTCCTTTTACAATATATCCTCGTGCAATATATAAATGCAAGAGCCGTGACAAAGAACATATCTCAAAATTTGATATTATAATATCAGTCCAGAAAATAAGAAAACACGTGGATCTTAAACCAAGATCTATATGAGGGTCTGGATGGGGTTTAAAAAATAGAGAGGACTAAACCTACAGGAAGGGGACAAACAAACAAAAATGAAGAAAAATAGGACAAAAAATATAGAATAGAGAATAGTAGGGTGCTCAAATGTATAGAATAGTGGCCAAAAAATATAAAGAATAGAGAAAAATGACCAACAAATTAGATAATACAAAATTTAGGGATTCCCATCCACAATCTCATATATGAGTTTGCACAATTTAGCTGCATGCAACCTTAAACCAATCTATAAATGTTATCTAAATAAAATGCAAGTCAACTGAAATGTAAATTAAGTTAATGTATTAGGGTTCCATTCGGCCATAAGTCATATTAACAAGTACAAATATAAAAGCGTACAAAGAGAGTTGTGTTATCCATCATGCATTTAATGTCAATATAAGATAAAAAGATGTGCTATGATTGCCAATCAGACAACTCTCGACCAGAGACCAATTGACGTAGAAGTTAAGAGCTATAGGTCACCGTACGGCCTTCAACAATGTGCAAAACTCATACCGCTCGGCAAGCTATAAAAGGTCCCGAAATTGGAAATATAAAACAATTCAAACGAGAATGAAAAAAATAATGTATATTAAGCTATATAAGGCTCCGGCATAAAAAAGGGTGAACAATTCAAAAGAGAAAACCAACGGCCTGATTTATGTACAAAACAATAAACGAAAAACACATATGATATCAAGCAACAAACGACAACCACTGAATAACAGGCTCCTGGCTTAGGACAGGCACATACAGAATGTGGCGGGGTTACACATTTTGCTGGCGCCAACCCTACCAAGCACATATACAGAGCGACAAATATAAAAAAATGGAAGGGAAAAGGGGGGGGGGGGGGAATAGATTTGTGAGTATAGAAAAAATGGGGAAGAAGTAACTGCTTATACAAATTGAAAGAAAGTACACCAGACTCCCTCGTATATCTTTCGATTGAGCTGCTTTTAGATTATTTTATTATATTTTTTATAAATAAAAACAAAACATTCATCATTCATAAACCAGTTACAGCTGGAGCCCGAGAGATTCTCTAGTGACCGTCTCTTATTTCTAAATAGCTAAACATTCTCCACGTGCTTTCTGCTAAATAATACATCAATTAAATCTTAAATTGTGTACTTACTTTTTGGCACATGATGTAGAAATCACACTTAAAATCAGCACAAAAATTAATCCGTCTCGCCTCATTATGTTTTCCTATAAAGATTGAAAATAAAAAATCAACGTGAACAGATAAATGAAGTTACAACCATGCTCCAGGCTGTGATACGTCAAAAATACAGGAGTTACTTTTATTAATGCAAATATTTACAGCTTGAGGTCACTAACGGACCATCTTCGTGGTGTTTACGATGCAAATATGCTATTAACATATTTAATCTTTGTCAAAAATACTTATCCCTTAAGAGTGCAAAGTTGAAAGAAATAAAAGGTGTAAAATTTATGTCCATCAAACAAAATATTGATAAATGTACGAGTAGTAAAGAGGAAAACTGAATGTGTACCACGGTATAATTAATATACAATAATGAATTGATAAATGGATAAATAAATAATATTTGATTGATAGATTGATGTTTGCTGTACGTCGCCTCGTCACAAAAAGGCTATATTGAGGCGATAAATAATATAAACTGAAGCTTGTGCATAGTTACCGTAAAATGTTCTAATCATACAAAAAAGTATGAAGCTTGAATTTCCCAGCTATACAGAATTAAAATTAAAATGGTTATGTTTAATTTTATGCGATTGATATAGATAAAGGAGATACAGAAAAACGTGTTAGTTTCATGAAAACATGCTAAAATAAAATTTAAAATGATATATTGATAGAAATGCATCTTTGTAATATTTTTTTTAATTCATTGAATGTGTATAACATATAAATTAAGCCTTACCACAATAAGAATTTATCAAGAATGTTCTTACTTTATTATCAAATATGAAAGAATTTGCAAATTTCTGCCTTATATATATATGTATTGATTACAATTTAGAAAGCAATTACTATATGTTGTACCAGACGTCAATCATCCTGGTCGTGTTTCAGGACTTTCCCTCTCCTTTGTAAGCGGCGATATGATTGGTTAATCTCAACTACTTTTCTACGTCATTTCAAAAACATCTCGTCCGGTTTATGCTATAATTAGAACTACTGTCTTCAGGGGGAGGATTCATCTACATGCACTTCAAAACCATATAATTGAGACATCAAATATTTGTAAACAAACTAATATTACGATCATTTAATCGTAAGATTATAGGGATCGACTTTATACATGATGTATTTGTTTTCGTGATAGGCACATCGTTGCCTCATCCTTGAACTAATAGGATTTAAATTTTTGTGTCTTTTTGCGTCGTTTTTTATAGGAAAATTTTTCTGCGAGTCCTGTACACTTTTCAATATATATTAACTGTATCATCAATCAATAAATTAAACTAAAACATGGTTAATCAGTGTACATTCAAACCAACAAACCTCTTCATTTGTGAATACCGATGAAACGGTTTCATTTTTTTTTGCCCTATAACTTTAGAACAACAAATCAAAAAAAAAGTGCCAAAATTGCATTGGAATAACGTTCTTGTCTACCACTGTGACATTTTGCATAAAATTCGCGACAACAAGTCAAGCAAAATGTGTATGAACTTCTACAAAATGGAGAGAATTAAGTATTTATAAATTGAATAAGTCTAAAACGATTTTTGGACATTTTTTTCTTCAAACATTAGATTCTATTATAAATTTCAAATTGCATTATGAAAAATTTAAACAACACGTTATAAATTTTATGCGTCCAAAGCGCTCGAATAAAAAAAGTTAAAAAAAAAGGCAAAATCAATTTCGAAGTTGAAGAGCATTTAAGACCCACACTTCCGAAAGGTTTTGTCTAACTATTCCTGGGGTAGAAAATCCTTATTATTTAGAAAAAAATAGCACTAATAAAGGCACCGACCCTTCATTTTGTGTATTTGTTAGTGTGTAATGGGGGAGGGGGGGGGGGGGGTAAAGGGACGGGGATTTGATAAAAACAAAACGTTTGTTTTTCAATAACTTTTGCAAGGTTGTTTTTTTATCTCAATAAAGTATGATTTCCCTGCTATTTTTTTTAATGGAAACTAAAAATATTGTTCACTTTCCTCAAAAACATATCCCAAGAAATAAAGAAAGACAGGGTTCTTACCATCAGTTAGAATCTCTAAAGATTTTGGCAAACATGACATGATTCTTAATAAGGCTCGTCCTGAATGTGGATGCAATATTTGCCACTTGACGTAAAGCCATCAACATTCAATCAAACTTTAAATGGCATAACTTATCTGAATAAACAATGAACAGTTTTTCTGATGGGAAGGTAGACTTTTGATATTTCACAGGGTAAGTCAAGTCAGTATATTTGAGAGGGGTCGTAATTCAAGCACCAATGAGAACAAATTTGGACAATTTTCTGTTAAAAAGTCATAAAGATCGTGAAAAACTTGAGAAATTTTGGCATTCAATAGGGAGGGAAGTACGCCCTCTACGCAGTGGTGGATCCAGAAATTTTCATAAGTGGGGGCCCCGCTCCAGTCATGCTTTAGTGATTCCCTATATAATTAACCAATTTTTTCCCACAAAAGGGAACCCCCACCCCTAAATCTGCCTCTGCTACGCCCCCTTACTCCGTCACTGATATCGTTTTGCTTTTACTAAAATGATAAATAAGGTTTTTCTCACGCGAATCAAACAATTCAAAAGAATTTTGTTTCAGGGTCAGTTACAATAACAAAAAAGGAAAGTAAAGGGTCGCCATGTGTATCCGGCGACTAGAGATGTATGAAATTTATATCCCATGACAATACATGAAAAAAGTCAATATTACTATACATTGATATTCACATTTTAAAACCATACCTATGTAACTTAGGTCTTCTCGATTATATTATTTTAATGATCACGGGTAGTAACCTCGTCATATCGAGAAGCGTTTAGTACAGTGATTTTGTCATAGTTTGGTTAAGATGAACATGGTTTTGTTAAGCGTTTTTGATGACAAACAGTGTCAAAATATAAACATTCGAATAGTTTGTTAAAGGAACTAATGACAACAAATTCAAGCTGGTAAGTATCTTTGTATATAGCTAATATGTTAGTACATCAAAATGTGTATCATATAGTTATTAATTTGACACAGAATAATGCTTGCGTATGTCAAAATTTAAAAGTTGTGATTCGTTTCAAATGCATAAAGAAAAGTGGTTTGCTTACTGTCTGCTACATCACATATTTTTTTATGATATAAAACTGCCGTCAATTTTCCCGAAAAACAGCCCCTAGTGCACACAATTTGAGATTGCAGAATATTTGGTGTCATGGTTTGGTTCATTCGTGTCATGGTTTATTTCATGTTGAACATGGTTCAGTTATGTGATTCTATTCGTGAATGAAGGAAGAGTAACAATCAAAATAAACAGACATTATATATATTGAAATACACTTTTTTAAATCGTTTTATTTGAAATACAAAAGGACATATATACGTACATTCAATGTAGTATTATATATATTAAGTACATGCGGTCTGATTGCCAATTAGATAACTATCCACTCGAGACCAAAATGACGTAGATGTAAGCACCTATATGTCGTCGTACGGCCTTCAACAATGAACAAAATCCATACCTTTTAGCATGCTATAAAAGGCTCCGACAAAATTATATGTAAATAAAATGTAAATGAGAAAACCAATGTATTATACAATATTACAAAAACATAATCATTTTTATTCGTTCGTAATAATAATTGATAAAAGTGGACATTAAATCGGCTTCATTCTAATTCGGAATTGTGATTTTTCATATATTTAAATTCTGAACTTGTGTGTATTTTTTTAAAATTTTTATTTTAATTTTACTAATAGTTTATAAAACAAATAAGTTTTAACTGTTCTCCATTACACTCGTTAACATTTTGTTTCGTGGATGGTTGAAGACTTATTGTGTCCTCTTGATATTGTTTGGTTAGTTTTGTAGTAGGGATACTAAAGCATGGGCGTATAACCCCACATCTCCTTTTATTCATCATAGACTGGTTCAAAATAAAACAACAGATATATAGTTTAGCTGATACGTTTTGCGACTTGAAGTAGACGTTTTTACAAATTTTACAAGTGATGCCGCTCACGATATCATCGACAGAGTCAATCATGGACATACGTAGAAAATAATCTATTTGAAACAGAAGCAGCGCTTTCTGTTTTTGTAATTATTATCTCAAAAGATAGTTTAAAAGAGCATTGTCTATTAAAATTATAAAAGCAAAATAACAAAAATACGAGACTTCGAGGAAAATTCTAACCGGAAAGTCCCTAATCAAATGGCAAAATCAAAAACTGAAACACATCAAACGAATGGATAACAACTGTCATATTCCTAACTTGGTACAGACAATTTTTTCTGTAGAAAATGGTTAATTAAACCTGGTTTTATAGCCAGCTTAACCTCTCACATGTATGACAGTCGCATAAAATACCATTATATTGACGACGATGTGTAAACAAAACAAACAGACATAATAGGTAAAAATGTCAAAAAATAAGGGTACAGCAGGCAACATTGTGTTATAATCTTAGTCACTATAAAAACAAAACTAATATTTCAACAAAGAAAAACAAAAAGGCATATAGACAAAGCACATAAGCAAAAACGAAAGACAAAAATATAAAAATTTACCATAGCACAATAACACAATGACGGGATGTATAAGTACCGAGCCACGTTAAATGGATTGTGCCAAAAATAGACTAAACAGTTAAAGTAATAATTTACAAAGACAAATAAAAGAGTACCATAACACGTCATTAAGGTGACAAACAACGTCAGTACTTAGAATCCTTACTTAAAGACCATCGTTTATCATTTGTGAAGTTGAAAAGGAATATTTTCCCACAAGGTCCGATGAACTTTTTTGGAAAAAGGAAGAGACGTTCTTTGACATACCACTGGTTCATCAACTTTCTGCTCAGACACTGGTGACGGTTTACAAAGTCGGAGTAGCATCTGAAAGCTCTTGAATATCGAATGAGTTGGGGAAATGTATATCCCATATGCAGGAGAAGTTGGTATATTGCTACTAAGGTTGGAGAAACTGAGAATTTTAAAATTAAAATCGTCTCGTTTGTCATAGATTCTGATACTAAGATGACCGCTCATGTCAAACTCGAGGTATAAGTCTAAAAATGAGGCAGAGGAAGCCGTGTCTGTTGTTCCTTTAATTTCTAGTTCTGGGGGATATATTAATGGAATTCAACAAGAAAAGTCAGGATTGTT